TCTCCAGCTGCTTCACCTTCTTCTGATCTCTTTGGCTTCAGCCGCAGCAGCTCCTCGCCAAAGGCAGCAAGCGTCCACCCGCTGCCAGGAAAACACAGCCAGAGACAGCCCACGCCCACCTCAGCCAGATGCAGTCAACGGACACCCGAGCCCTCAGTGTGGCCTCTGGGAGAGGGAAAGCAGCAGCAGCGTCGGTTCCTGCAGCCGGCCCCAGGCTGGAGTCCCTCCTGCTGCAGGAGCTCCTGCAGACACCTCTCCTGTTGCAAATATTTTGATAAAGAAATTAAAATTTGATTATATAAAAGAGTTTGGTTTGATTAAGAAGTAGAAAATTGTGAAGCATAGGTATGGGAGTGTTAAGTTTGAAATGTAGTCATAGGAACTTTAGAAAATGTACTATGTGTAACCATAAGAATTCAAGTATTGTCTAAAATCAGTTGACCACAGAAACTTTGACAAAGGTTTGTGGATTTGTAGTGTTTTGTTTTAAGAAACCAAAGAAACCGTTATGGACACCAGTTTGCTGCTTGGAAACCCCTTACCCTTCCCACCTCGATCTAATTATCGAGGATTCCAATCAGTAGAGTTAAGTGAGATTAACCAATGATTGTTTTAACATAAGAATATTAATAAGATGGTGTGACTGAAGGACCAATTATTAGAAAGGTTAAATTTAAGAACAGACATAGTATGCATTTTTATGTAAACTAGTATAGGTGATGGTGAGAATCGTACCGCGCAGAATCACCCAAGAGAGGTCAAGAGGCGGACAAGTGAGGAAGACTACAGAAGACCACCGGAGGGCTCCTGAAGACCACCAGAGACCTTCACTGCGCCTGCGTGAAGAGACATTTATATATGCTAATGATTTATTGGAAAGTTAATGATTATGTATAACATTTTCCAGAAATTTAGTGAATAACAGGTGTGTATTTAACCTGCACGGTTAGACTAGCCAGGTGCACACGATAGGTGGAGCGATCCCCCGTGTGCCCAGCGCTGCAATAAAGGAGTGCCCGCTTCTTAACTTCTCCTTGCTGTTCAGGAGTCTTATTCCGGATTTCGGTACCACTCCTTCCCCGCCCCCGCCTTAACCGAGGCCCGAGGGCACCCGAGGCCCGGCTCGCTGCTGCCAGGACAGGCCGTGGGGCGGCCTGGAGCTGCGGGACAGGCCTCAGGGG